TGCGTGCGCAGTGCTCATTTCTGTCGAGAACTCAGGGAGGTGCATCGTGGTCAGGATGCCAGGAGTTTGGCTGCCGTGCAGGCAGCGCCCCCTTCGGGCCCGGACGGCACTGTGCCCCCGCCCCGCCCAAAGCGGTTCGTGCCCGACCGCAGCCCCGGCTTCGATTCCCGTGCGCCCACGGCGCAGTAATACACGGCCGCGTCGCCGAGCCGGGGCCGGGCGAGCCACAGGGAGCTGGAGCGGCGGTCTGCCGACACCCACAGCCGCCCCTCCAGGTCCGGAACCTCCTTGGAGCCTTTAACGGCGCTGACGAGGAATGCGGGTCCTCGGCCAGGGAGCTGGCGGTACCAGTGGATGGAGTCGCTGGACACTATACTGGGGTGTGAACAGGTGATGTTGATGCCGATGCCCTCGCTGGTCTCTGCCGACGGATCTTGCTGCACCTGAGCTCTGCTCACAGCCACTGCCGAGAAGAAAAGAAGCAGCAAACTCACAAAATCCATTTTCTCCCACAGCTTTTTCATGCACCGGAGATGTGCACGATGTCGGAATGGAGACGAAAAGCCAGAGGCGAGCACGGTCCCGCCGCCCCGCGGCAGCCCCGCGCACCCAGGAGCGCCGCGGCCAGCCCCGGCTCTGCTCCGCCCGCGGCACCTCCTCCCCGCCGCCGCCGCACCAGGCTCACGTAGTGGCATCTTCATTTATCTGCTCCAAAACACATCGTGGAGGAAGGAGTGAATGGAGTGAATGGAGTAAAGTTGGTCAGTCGTTCCCTGAGTTCCCTTTCTCAGTCCTTCTACATGTTTTTGGTGCCTGTTGTTCTTTCAAAGCTACAACCGCAATCTCTCAACTGTCATGATCCCTGAAGGATGTTAGAGAGCTGCATCACAACGACATCACCCGGTCAATCACCCTTGGATGCATCCCAGTCCATTTCAAGGGCACAAGTATGTCCAGCTGGATTAAGTTCTCCGATAGGTTTTCTTCCTTTATAGGGACTGCTTCTTCACTCCCATGAATTCTGTGAATGAAGCTCAGGGGCCTTGTAGGTCCGTCTAAAAGAATTATCATGAAAGTGAGTGAAAAAGAAGCATTCATTATATTACACATTCACTTCTCCCTGTTTCTGGCATCTCATGGTCCAGTGGACATACAATTTCCTTAGCTTCCTTTTTGCTGCCACAGGTGAGCTTAGGATGCTTTTCTGGCTGTTCTTCGCAGCAAGTTTTCATCTCAGGCTGACCTGTGGTGCTTC